TTCGGGTTTAGGGCTTAGGGTTGAGGGTTGAGGGTTGAGGAACCCTAAGCCGAAGTCCAAGATCCTTGAACACCCGGTTTGCTTGATTGATCTTGGGCTCAGTTTTAAGGGGGGTTTGGGGCTTGGCACTTTGGATCCCCCAACCCCAAACCCCAAACCCCAAACCCCAAACCCTAAGCCCTAAACCCTAAACCCTAAACCCTAAACCCTAAACCCTAAACCTGGCAGCAGTTACTCCAAGGTGCATTGCAAACGCCTCTGCGCAGGAAGACTGGGCCAGAGCTGTGCTCAACGCTGGGCCATCTGGCGACGTGCCAAGATTTCGTGAGTCTCAGCTGACCTCTTGGAGACAACTTGAAGGTTCATGGTACTTATGAACCAATTATAGCTGTACTTCTAACCACTTAAAAGCCCTTTAAGTGCCCCAATATGGCTGAACGTACAGGTATAAGTACAGTTATAATTGGTTCATAAGTCCATGAACCTCCAAGAAGATCAGCAAACTCACATTCCCAAACGCCCCCAAATCCACAAACGAGGCAGTGTCCATATGTACAGCCGCAGTGGCGAATTGCTCCTGAACAGCCACAGTGAGTCCAAAAACTCGAACCCCCCAAGATTCCAGAACACAGGAAAACTCAGAGTTCTCAGAAGCTCTTTCACTGCCCTACCCTAAGCCCTGAACCCTAAACCCTAAACCCTAAACCCTAAACTCTAACCCCTAAACCCGAACATGCAAACCTCTGGACCACCGTCCTCGGCTCCGGTGGTAACTTCGCTCTCAGTTGGAATAGACCTCAGGGCGGTCATCCCATAACAAAGTTTAGAGTTTGGGGTTCAGGGTTTAGGGCTTGCTGTAGTCTGGCGTAGATGCTGTGAAGGTTGGGATGCAGCAGAGGCTCGAAAACCTCGTCAGGTGCGAAGAGCGCACTGGCCCGATTGCCCCCACACTGTCCAAGGCGGCAAAGCCACCCTATTCCTTTGAGGGTTTAGCGCCTAAACTTAGGACAATTGCTTACTTCCAGTAGGACGTCTTCCATGCGATGGTCACTTTCAGCCAAGGGGAAGGTTTCAGTCCAGGGGGTCCCAGAAAAGGAATGTCTGAGAGGGGGCTCCAGTGGGAGGCGGGCGAACGACGCCATGGATGTCGAGGCGCTTAAGCGCCCTCCCCCCCCCCCCACACTGTCGAGGGGTGGCGTAGGCCTTGAGTTTAGGCTTTAAGCTTACAAGGCATTAGGGATTCTCGGGATGATACAAAGTTTTCGGGCTTAGAGGGTTTTAGGGCTTGAGGACGTTTAGGGCTTCCAGGATCCAGGGCTGTGGGGTTTACAGGGCAGAGACCCGCGTGGCCAGCTCCCTAACTTCCCCTCTTCGGGGACCTATCATAGCACAGGGTGCTAGATGTAGGGTTCCCGCAAGAAAGAAACCCCAAACCCGATTTTTCTTAACCCTCGCCCTGTTCTAAGTTGAGAGAACTGCTCACATGAGTCGTGAACTCCCCCCCCCCCCCCGAGCCCGATGTCGCTCTCAAGGGCTTAGGCTTTCAAAAATCGCAAGCCCCCGAAGCTCAAAGTCCCCAAAGCACGGAACCCCAAACCTAAACCCTGAACCCAAAACCCGGAACCCTCAGCACGCCCACAGCCCAAAGCCCACATCCTAAACCCGAAGCCCTAAGCCCCCCAATGTGGAACAACTCGAAGCTGTGACTCCACAGTCCGGATTTAGGGAGTTTTTGGATGCTTTTTTTGCTCTTAGGGCTTAGGGCTTCGCAGTTCTAGGCCAGGAGCATTCCCAACACAGACCCCAAAAAGCGTTAAACGTAGGGGTCGCGCCAGCGAAAGCGCTTCTTCCATGGCCTCCAAAGCGCCCCTAAAGCCTAAACCCTAAACCCTAAACCCTTAACCCTAAACCCTAAGCCCTAAACCCTAAACCCTACAGGCCGAGAACTCCTCAGACCTCACACCTATAAGCGCCGAAAGCCCGAAGCCCCTAACGTTTAGGGTTTAGAGTTTAGGGTTTAGGGTTTAGGGTCTAGGGTTTAGGGTTTAGGGTTTAGGGTTTAGGGTTTAGGGTTTCGGGTTTCGGGTTTCGGGTTTCGGGTCTAGGGTTTATTTCGGGTTTAGGGTTTGAGGTCAGCTTCAGCACCAGAAAAGGCCGCAAAAGAAACCCTGATGATTATGGCAACGCCACCCCTGCCACAACCCTAGGCCATAAACACACCTATTGCCTCGTCGTAGAGGCTCAGGGTTCAGGATGAGGGTACCCTAGACCCTAAACCGTAAACCCTAAACACTAAACCCTAACCCCTAAACCCTAAACCCTAAAACCCTAAAGCAAAGAGACCCTAAAAGCGTTCAAAAAGTCCTTGCCCCTAAGCCCTCTGCTCTCAGACAACCCCCCCCCTCCCAGTCAGCAGCGGATTCGGAAACCGAAAACGCGCGGATTCGGAAACTGGAAGAAAACCTGATTCGGAAACTAGAAGAAACCTGATTCGGGAAACGGAAACCTGCTTATTCAGGAAACTGCAGAACGCGGATTCGGAAATCGGGGATTCGGGACGCAGCTTCGGGAACCAGGATTCGGGAAACCAGCTGATTCAGAGCGCGTGGACATGAACGTTATCATCCCCCCCCCCCCCCCCCCCCCCCCCCCCCCCCCCCCCCCCCCCCCCCCCCCCCCCCCCCCCCCCCCCCCCCCCCCCCCCCCCCCCCCCCCCCCCCCCCCCCCGCCCACCCCTCCTCCCCCCACCCCCCCACCCCACCCACCCACCCGCCCAACCCCCGCATTTTCAGTTTCCTGAATCGTGCAGTTTCCTGAATCGTTTCCTGAGTCACGTGGTTTCCTGAATCGCAGTTTGCAGCTTGCTGAATCGCACGTTTTCAGTTTCCTGAAATGGCTAGTTTCCTGAATCGTGTAGTTGGACCACGGGTGTTGGGTTGCCGCGAGGTTTCCGGCATTTCAGGACTTTTGCCAAGGTTTATGGACTCAGGGGTGGGGTTGGGGGGGGGGGGGTTGGGGTGGACTCAGGGGGGGGGTTGGGGAGGGGGGGTTGGGGGGGGGGGGGGAGAAGAACATCATTCATATTGCATCCATGCCAAAAACACTGGTATTTACAGCGTTTTCGCCAGTTTGTACAACATACCGCGCAAAGTTGTGGAACAAGACACGTTGTCACAGGCGGCCATGCCTTTTGCGACAATGCCCAAAACACTGGTATTTACGCCCAAAACACTGGTATTTACAGCATGTTCGCCACTTTGTACAACATACTGCACAAGGATGTGGAACAAGAAAAGCATTCACAAGCGTCCTTGCCTTTGGCGACCACCCAATACAGTGGTATTTACAAGTGTTTTTGTTTCTCTACGGGCTGCAGACTTGACCTTTAAGGGTTTACACTCCGGGCTAACACATTCATTCTCAGAAACCGAAAGGCCACGTAACAGTTAGAAAATGATGTAGCTTTTTTGTACATCCTGAAGACTGCTTTTTGAGGAATCATGCCAAAACCCAGGGTAAACGTACGTTTTCGCACAACAAAACACCACGGCAACCCATCACCCGTGGTCCGTGTAGTTTCCTGAATCCTGGCTTCCTGAATCGCATAGTTTCCTGAATCCTGGTTTCCTGAATCGTGGGGCTGGTTTCTTGAATCCTGGTTTCCTGAATCGCGTCCAGTTTCTGAATCGCACTAGGATCAACCCCCCTCCCCCCCCCACCACCCCTCATGGCACTAAGCCCTAAATGTTAAACCTTGTTCAGCTTTGGAAGCTTTAGAACCCTACCCCCCCCCCCATCCCAGAGAAACAAAGGGAAGTCCTAACCCTAATCCCTAAACACCAAGGCCTAAACCCTAAACCGGAGGCCCTGGGCATGCTCCGGCCTGCACATCGCCCTCGCTGGGCGAGACCGCCTTGAGGCCGAGGGTTTGGCGTCTGGGGTTTAAGAAATGGTTTAGGGTTTAGGGTCTAGGGTTTAGGGTTTAGGGTTTAGGGTTTAAGGTTTAGGGTTTAGGGTTTCGGTTTAGGGTTCAGTGCTTATGAGGTTTTTGGGGAGGGGACGCGAACTCGGTTCACATGTCGCCCCAAAAAAACACCTATGAACCTTCAAATAGCAGGGTCCTCTTCCCCCCCCCTTCCCGCGCGCCTCTGAGAGGAAGAGGTCGAGATCGCAGGGCACAATGGCCTGAGTCGGGTGCTTCGGCATCAGGGTTTGCCCGGAATCCGTGAGGCCGGTGGTGTCTGCGAGCCGCTTGTGGGGCGCCCTAAGCGCGTAATATAGGGGGCCATAATTATTCGAAGAGGCTTTTGGGGGATATTTTCAAATATATGTGTAGGGACCACAAGGGATTACCGTCGGTAACCCCTATGGTAGGGCTGTGAGGGCTTTGGGTCTGAGAGGAGCCCTATGGGTCATTGAGGGGTGGTCCAGAAAGATTGCGGCTGGGGAGCCTCTTGGGCTTTTTTAATTTTGAGGCTATCCACGATGGACGGGTGGCCCTAAACCCTAAACCCTAAACCGCCTAAACCGCCTAAACCGCCTAAACCGCCTAAACCCTAAACCCTAAACCCTACACCCTAAACCCTAATTGTTGGTTGGCAGCACTCTCGCTCCCTTGCCTCAGCTCGCAATGCGGACGTTTTCACAGCTCAAGGCACTGGCGGTTAGAGAAGCCTGGTGATTTGCTGCTTCTGGCACAGAGTTGCCAGAGATGCCACCGCAAATTGCCAAAGTTCCCACACACCAGCGACTGGTTTCACCGTGAGGTAAGCCGCACACAACAAAAATGTTTCTCCATGGTTGGACCAGACCATGGAAACCCACATCTTCTGGAAACAATGCATCAGCCTGTCCTACAGCTGCCGAAGCTGACAAACCTCGCCATTGAGGGCCTGCCAGTCGCAAGGCATCCGGTAACCAAAAGTTGGGCGTCAGTGCTGTTGGCTGTGAAGGGCGACAAAAACTGAAGGTAGAAACGCAAATATAAAAGAGAAGACCGCTTAGCGGCGCGAGTTGTTGGGCTGGGAAAACTTGCACCCCCTCGATGGCTCATCTGCCGGATTGCTTTCTGACGGAATGTAAATCAGCCTCAGAAGGAGGTCGCAAGACAGCACATGTGCACCGATTGACCTGATGACACCACGGAACCCTGGCGCCGAGGTTCGCCCCTTCGCCGCGGCACCCAAGACAGCTTTCGCGTCCACGAGCACGACCACTTTCTTATGGTGCTTCGCACGGCTGCGGCACAACCGCTTGATGGTCAGCAGGAGAGCGTGCCCCTCTAAGATTCCGGAGTGTGCTGCCCAGCGTGCTCTGCTGGATATGACGGTTCGAAAATCAGACTTCTGGTAGCGCAAGCGATGGGGAAAACCTAAGCGACAAGGTCCCGAGGACTGTTCACAGCCATGCAGCCGCACGTAGTCTCCCCGGCGCTCCGCCAAGCGGCTGAGCTCTTGAAGCTCTTGCTTGCTGCTGCTGACCGCCGACACGCCAAAGCCAAACTCAGGAGCAGCATCGCACGCCAGAAGTTGTTCGTGAAAGCCTCTGTCCAAACTGACGGACAGGAGAGGTAACAAGCTCGTGGCCACTGCTATCTCACGCAGCACGTTGCACGGGACAGGCTGTCTGACGTTGGGCTCTCGCCGAACGAACTCGTATATCTGGTCAAAGACTCCGAACATCGGCCTCTGCAGGAGGCTGAACCACTGCAGCAAACCCAACAAACCATTGACTGCTCCTGGAGAGGCCGACTTCGTCCGTAGCAGATCTAAGCAACAAGCGAGGCACCTCAGAAGTTTGGTTTGTGAAGGTTCTGCCATATGAGGGCGGCTGCTGACATCACACCCCAATACAGTGATCTGCTCAACCAAGGTTATGTCCTTGCTCTTCTTTCGCGGAATGCCTGCAGCAGCGAGTGCACCATCGAAACGCTGCAAAGTGGATGTCCCTCGATCAAGAGTCTGATGAACGAAAACGGTGTCGTCTGTAGCCACCAAGCACAACTCGGACTGGTCGCTCGGAGGCTTGTGGCTGACGGACAATACACTTTCCTCTCGAACGCCTGCAGCTGCCACGCACGCTAAAGTAGTTCCTTGCGCGATTGCTGAGGACCAACTGAAACCCATTGGCCAGACCACATGCACCGGGAAAACGAACTCGCTGTCAGTTAACTGAACACCTGCTGTGTCGTCCGTGAGCCCACTCAACGCAGCAAGGTCCAAGCCCGTCTCTCTGAGCAGGTCGCCTACCAACAGCGGCGGCTGTGCGAAGAAGTCTTGCAGGTCGGACGGAAGCCTGAGCGTGTCGAAGAAAGTTTCTGCGTCACGCTTGGAGTAGTAGAGCGGCTTCCCTGTCTCAGCATGTATATCCAGCAGCGATGAAGGGTTTGCAAGCCTGTGCGGCGGCGGCGGTCTGGCTGCCAGCGCCGAGAGCTGTGCACCATTCCAGATCTTGCGTTGTCTGCCTTCCGTGGCTTTAGCCGCAGCAAAAACTGAGGCCAACCCACGTACATGCCGGCGTAGCCTAAGCTTCCCACATCCAAGCTCCCTGGCCACGAGGATGAGGTACTGCTTGTAGTCATGCTCATTCGCTGGCACGAGTGGCTGAACCGGTGGCAAAGGTTCTGGAAAAATCGCTGAAGAATCGCTGATGGCGAACCAGGTCCTTTGGAATATGCTGCAAAGGGTCGCACGTGGCAGCCTGCAACGGCAAGTCAACAGCATCTCCTCTCAAAGGCTCATACTGTGAGGAACATGCCGACTCAAAGTGCTGAAACGCGCCTCGCCAAACCCAGTTGTCGCCTGCTACTGCTTGCAAGCGGGTCAGCATGCGAGCAGTTTTCGCTGCCACATGCTTCTGAGCTTCAAGTTGACATATCGTTGGGAAGCTTCGCCAAGCTGCCGTTAATCTATGCGACTTGAAATCAGCCCACATGGCATTGAGCCCCACGATGCACAGATTTGCCACTTTCAAAGCTGCAGGCTGCATGTCCGAGACGAACTCCACGGTCGACGGCCAAGTTTGGATTTCCGGCAGCGGGAAAATGTCTCGCATGCGCCCAGCGGCTGGCTGGCTCCAATCCACAGAAAAAGTCGACAGAAGACCGCAGTTGCCGAGGAGCAGCACGTCAACGGCGCTTGCAAGACCTGTAGCCACAGTGGCCGCAGTCACCCCAAGCAATGCCCGCCATTGGCGCTGCCTGCGGGCATCCCGCTCCAATTTTGAAGGTGAAGGCTTTTTGCCTCTCCGCCTGACTTTGCCGCATCGGTGTGGCGCCGCTATCAGCAAACCTGGGGGTGGCGCAACAGACAGAAACATGTTTCGCCGGAGCGCAGTGACCGGACGCTAGGCCGAAAGATCCATGATGCCTGCAACTACACAAGCTACACCACCCCAGCGCTGGTAACTGGCTTTTCAACCCAAAGGGCTCCGGGCACCATGCCTTGTGTCGAAGCACAGCTGCGCAGTCACTCGGCCTTCCTCCCTGACTATATGACGACTGGAAAGTCAGACGTCGGCACGTTGCAACAACAATATCCCTTCAACCCTAAACCCTAAACCCTAAACCCTAACCCTAAACCCTACATCCTAAACCCCTAAATCCTCCAGGGCTTCAGTCTCCAGGGGTCCGTGAAGTGTTCTTGAGGGCATTCACTGAATCCTCAGGGCGTAGGCTCTGCCATCCATATTTTTACAGGGCTCCCGGTCGAAGATCTTCTCCCTAAACCCCTATACCGAATTGAAGGGTTTAGGGTTTAGGGTTTGGGGTTCAACTTGTGGAAGAAGCTGTACTTCAAAAGAAAGAGCTGCATCTCAAAAAGTAACATTCTATCAGAAACACTGGCGAGTATCGAGTCTTAACACGAGGCTTTCGGGGCTTTGTGGGCTCCACCCTAAACCCTAAACCCTAAACCCTAAACCCTAAACCCTAAACCCTAAAGCTCCAACGCTCTGGGTGGGCTGCCATCATGGGTAGCCAGGCGCCCAAATGCCGAAGCCTGAGAAACAACAAGCTTTTAGGGCTGGGGGGGACTTGGCTCCACCCAGCGTTTAGGGTTTAGGGTTTAGGGTTTAGGGTTTAGGGTTTAGGGTTTAGGGTTTAGGGTTTAGGGTTTAGGGTTTAGGGTTTAGGGTTTAGGGTTTGGGGTTTAGGGTTTGGGGTTTAGGGTTTAGGGTTTAGGGCTTAGGATTTGGGGTTTGGGGTTTGGGGTTTGGGGTTTGGGGTTTAGGGTTTTGAGCTTGCTTAGGCTTAATTAGGGTTTTGCATCTGCTTTCGTGCCTTACAAACCTTCCGGCTGTGTGTTGTTAGAAGGGGGGAAGCTCAAAAACCTCAACAAGCCTGAAACTCCTAAGAACCTTTCAAACCCTAAAGGCCCTAGAAAACACCTGAAACCCGTAAACTCCAAAAGAAAAAAAAAACTAAGCCATGTGAGTTTGTTCTAGGTCTGAAGATTTTGCGCTTTGGGCTTCACGGCATTCCGGGCCCTGTAGCTGGAGAGGCTTTGGCGTCTTTCGGGTGCTCTGGGATAGGGTTTGGGGCTTAGGGTTTAGGGATTAGGGCTTAGGGCTTAGGGCTTAGGGCTTAGGGCTTAGGGCTTAGGGCTTAGGGCTTAGGGCTTAGGGCTTAGGGCTTAGGGCTTAGGGCTTGGGGCTTACGGATGGTGTGAGGCTTTCGAACTTTAAGGTGCTGGTTTTAGGCTTTAGGAGACTTAGGCCCCGAGCCGGTTTTCGGCTCTTTCTTCATTAGGAGGTTTGGGCGGGTTGAGAAGACTTGTTCGGGCTTCTTGGGGGGGGGGGGGGGGGGGGGGGGGGGGGGGGGGGGGGGGGGGCGATCAAGTGGGCTTTGGGGTTGAAAGCTTCACCCCAACCCACTCAAAACCAGAAAAAGAAGAGGGTGCCGGTTGCGCTGGGCCGTTTAGGACTTAGGGTTTAGGGTTTAGGGTTCGGGTTTAGGGTGTAATGAAGTGAGGAGCATGCTTTCTGCAGCCTCTAACACGGGTTGAGGGCCCAGGGTATCCTAGACCCACCCAATCCTCAACCCCCGCAGATCCACAACTCCCTTTTGAAAAGGCACAGAAGTGCTCACAATCTATGGTATCAGGGGCACCTATCTCGGGCAGACTCTATCTCAGCTCCGGTTAAGGCGAGGGCCCCACAGATGGCGAAACTCTACGCCCAAACACTGAGTTCTAACCCCGAAACCCTAAACCCCAAATCCGAAACCCTAGCCGTAAACCCTAAACCCTGCATTCTAAACCCTACACCCTAAGCCGTGACTTCCCTGAACTCCTCGTAGGGCGTCCTGGATCCTGCCCTTTAAACACCCTAAGACCCTAACGCCCGAAACCCTGGCCCTAAACCCTAAACCCTAAACCCTAAACCCTAAACCCTAAACCCTAAACCCTAAACCCTAAACCCTAAACCCTAAACCCTAAACCCTAAACCCGAGCCCTTAACCCTAAACCCTTTTGGGGCTCCAAAGGGTGCCGCCAAAGCGGCTGCGATGTAAGTTCCTCCGTGGTCGGCTGGTCCTTAGGGTTTTAGGGTTTAAGGTTTAGGGTTTAGGGTTTAGGGTTTAGGGCTTAGGGTTTGGGGTTTTAGGGTTTAGGGGTTTTTGGGCTTTAGGGTTTTAGGGCCGTAAGGGTTACTAGGGTCTATTAAGGTCTTTTTGGCTGAGGAAGCCTAAACCCTCAACCCTGAACCCTAAATCCCAAACCCTAAACCCTAAACCCTAAACCCTAAACCCTAACTAAACCCTAAACCCGAAACAGCAAGAGCCTCCTGAGGCTCCGGACCATGGTCTTCAGTGTCTTTGTGTGCACCTCACCAGGACTTTGGGGTTCAGGGTTCAGGGTTCAGGGTTTAGGGTCCAGGGTTTAGGGTTTAGGGTTTAGGGTTTAGGGTTTGGGGTTTAGGGTTTGGGGTTTAGGGTTTAGGGTTTGGGGTTTAGGGTTTAGGGTAGTGTTTAAGGTTTAGGGTTTAGGGGCTCCCCTCGGGTTCTAATGCAGAGTTTTGCACCCCCTATGGACTTATAAGAACCTTCTTGCTCCTGAGGCTCCCATAACCTAAACCCTAAACCCTAAACCCTAAACCCCTAAAACCGTAAACCCCTTTGGGTTCTAATGCAAGCGTATGAACTTTCATCTTAAGGCCTTTCCCTGGACCCCTATGACTTGGGAACGTTTTTGCACTGAGGCTCCCTTTGGTTCTTGTGGGGATTCAGACCCCTCGATGGGAACATAAGGGCCATAGTAGGAGTCTATTAAGGGAACCGATTAAGGGAACTGTTTTGCACTGCGGCTCCCTTTGTTTTTCACGCAGGGCTTTAAGCTTTAATCTTGAGGTTGTTCCTTGGACCCTTAAGGTTGTACCCTTAGGTTTTGGGAACTCTCCCAAGGATACCCAATGGGAATATAAGGACCATGGCAGGGGTATTTTCAGGGAACCCCTTAGGGGGTACAACCTTCGGGGTAGGAGTTGTAATCCCTGATTGACAGCTTTGAGGTTTGAGGTCTTCCCCAAACCCTAAACCCTAAACCCGAGTACTTTGAGGGTTTAGGATCGAGGGTTTGGAGTTTAGGGTTTAGGGTTCAGGGTTTCGGATTGCGGCTTGCCCGCAAGCCCTAATCCCCAAGCCTGAATATGTAAAGACACTTGGAGGTTCATGGTACTCATTAACCAATGATAACTGCACTTATGACTGTACTTATAAGCCCCTCAAGTGCCCTTATGTGGCTATAAGTAGAGCTATAAATACAGTAATGACTGGTTAATAAGTACCATGAACCTCCAAGCATACCTCGGAGCATCTGTGTGTCCCAGAGACGTGGGGAGCATTACGCTCAGCCCCCGGCGCGGAGTGGCGAATGATCCTCATCGCGGGTTTCGGTTTTCGGGTTTAGGGTTTGCAGTTTACGGCTAGGGTTTAGGGTTTACTTAGGGTTTAGGATTTAGGGTTTAGGGTCTACCTTCAGCAGTTTCCCAAAATTCAGGTTTTAGGGTGTTGGGTCCTCATGGGATTCTGCCATACTTTGGGGGTATATGCGTGACACCCTCAGCCCCAAACCCTACACCCTAAACCCTGAACCCTAAACCCTGAACCCTAAACCCCAAACCCTAAACCCCAAACCCTATGTTGGGAGAGTACAGTACCTGCCGCGCGGCCTCACCGAGCGAGTTGACATAGTCCTGCCCGGTAGCTGCAGGTGCGTGAGCATTGCGTGGGTTTCGGTGCTTAGGGGGTTTGAGTATTGCGTGGTGGCCACATGAGGGGTGTGGATATAGGGATTTAGGGGGTTTAGGAAGTTTAGGAGTTTTAGGGGTTGTTGGGGTTTAGGGGTTTAGGCAGTTTAGGGGCTTTAGGGGTTCAGGTGGTTTAGGGGTTTACGGGTGTAGGGGTTGGGGGGTTTCGGGGCTTAGGGACGAGCTCCTGACTGCTCCTTGTAGGCTCACGGCGAAACCCTAAACCCCAAACCCTAGCCCCACCCAAACCCCAGAAAGGGTTTGGGATTCGGGAAGCTCCTGTGCTGCAAGGCGCGCGCCGTAGCCTTGGATTTTCCAGGTCTTTAGGGGTTTCAGGGTTTAGGGTTTAGGATTTAGGGTTTAAGGTTTAGGGCTAGGGTTTAGGGTTTAGGATTTAGGGTTTAGGGTTTGAGGGGTTTAGAAAATTTAGGGTTTAGGCATTTGTGGATTTAGGGGCCTAGTCAGATTTTGAATGGGGTTTTTGGGCTTCAGCGGGTTGAAGGGCTTGAAGGGTTCTACGAGGGCTTTAAGAGTTCTGGGGTTTAGGGTGTTTTGCGTTTAGGGGTTTTGGGGTTCTGGGGTTTTGGGTGTTTTGGGATTTGGGGCTTGAGGGATTTAGGGTTCTACGAGGGCTTTAAGAGTTCTGGGGGTTTAGGGTGTTTTGCGTTTAGGGGCTCTGGGGTTCTGGGGTTTTAGGGTGTTTGGGATTTAGGGCTTGAGGGATTTAGGGTTCTACGAGGGCTTTAAGAGTTGTAGGGTTTAGGGTGTTTTTGCGTTTAGGGGTTTTGGGGTTCTGGGGTTTTGGGTGTTTTGGGATTTGGGGCTTGACGGATTTAGGGTTCTACGAGGGCTTTAAGAGTTCTGGGGGTTTAGGGTGTTTTGCGTTTAGGGGTTCTGGGGTTCTGGGGTTTTAGGGTGTTTTGGGATTTAGGGCTTGAGGGATTTAGGGTTCTACGAGGGCTTTAAGAGTTCTGGGGGTTTAGGGTGTTTTGCGTTTAGGGGTTCTGGGGTTCTGGGGTTTTAGGGTGTTTGGGATTTAGGGCTTGAGGGATTTAGGGTTCTACGAGGGCTTTAAGAGTTCTGGGGGATAGGGTTGTTTTGCGAATAGGGGTTTTGGGGTTCTGGGGTTTTCGGGGTTTTGGGATTTAGGGCTTTAGGGATTTAGGGTTTAGGGGTTTGGGGGGTTTTGGGATTTAGGGCTTTAGGGATTTAGGGTTTAGGGGTTTGGGGCTTCCGGGTTTAGAGGTTTGGTGTTCTAAGGTTTTGGGGACTTAGGGCTTCAGAGGTTTGAGGGCTTTTGGGTTCCCCAAGAGCTTTAAACCCCTAAACCCGCGAAGGTCGCCGAAGACTGCTGCCTGGTTGGTCAAAAGGTCATCGACCTTCTCCAGCTCGCCCTCCTCCGGCTCTGCCATGTCGACAGCATCGTTCCCCTCGGCGCTGGACGCGTCCACTTCCAGGCAGCCCGGCAGGCACCGACGTTGACAGCCGCATTGGTTAACTAGTTGTTGCCAGCACCAATAGGATGATGACCCGCTTTTGAAATGCGGCCCGTGGACTGGTGGTGTCGCCGCCACTTGTCGGACTCCTCCCATGCTTTCGGGCTTCAGGTTGGGGGTGTCGGGTTTTGGGGCTTAGGGTGCAAGGGTTTAGGGTTCATAGGGTTTTGGGGTTACAGGATTTTGGCGGATTTGCAGGGTTTATTCGGTTCAGAGGGTTTATGGGGGTTTGGGCTGCACCCTTCTGAGCCCAGCACGCTCAAAATCGGAGTCGCCGATGGAGATGATGCTTCTCCAAGAGCCTCAGGATACTTGGGTTTGGGTTTGGGTTTGAGCTTGGGTTTGGGTTTGGGTTTGGGTTGGGGTTGGGGGTTTGAGGATTTGGGGGGGTTTAGGAGGCTAAGGGCTTGTTTGTAAACATGACATAGAAGGGGCCGTGATAGAGACATCTAAGCAACTGGAGGTTGTAAATCAGGTAAGTAAAACGTTTTGCTAGTTGAATCCTGCTTGCTCTGCAAGTTTCTTTGGGGGAGGTCGTACGCAATTACCTAGCCAACACTGTGAACCTAACACCCCGAACAACCCCTGAACCCTCGGCCCCGCACCCCCACCCCCCCCGCCTGATTGAATTCAAAACTCTAAGGGTAGTTATATGGTCCCTTTGTAAGGGAGCCCTTATACCCTTACCCGCTTTTACACGGGCCCATCCATCAGAACCCTTTAAGGGAGGGACCATATTCAGGGCCCATGCAACCACCCTTAGGAAACACCCTAAACCCTAAAGGCGGAAATCGATTGGGCTGCACAGACCCCACCGTCCCCCGCAATCCTTCATGGCCTTCGTCAACACGTTCTTCTGATTCTGCCGCGGGCACATCAACGTTGGTGCCGCAGAGTGCAAACCCTAAAGCCTAAACCCTAGTGTCCCTGCGGCAAAGGCAGCCATTGCCACCAAAAGCCAAAAGGCAGTGGACGGCTTCTTTGCCCGGCAGCGCCGCGCATCTAGCTGTCGGTGGCACGGCTTGCCCATGAAAAATGATGGAACTAGGTCTAGGGGTTAGGGTTTAGGGTTGAGGGTTTAGGGTTTAGGGCTAGGGTTTAGGGTTTAGGGCCACAAAACACCTCCGGAAAACCCTGAAACTATGAACCCCTTAACTCTAAACCCTCAGCCAAAGTCCCACAGTAACCTAGAAGCCCCGTGCTAACCTCTTGCTACACCCTAAAGCGTACACACTCACCATCAATCCTAACCCCTAAACCCCTAAACCCCCAAACCCCTAAACCCCTAAACCCCTGAACCCCTAAAACCCGGAACCCCTAAACCCTCAACCCTAAACCCTAAACCCTCAACCCTAAACCCTAAACTTTGAACCCTAACCCTAAACCCCTAAACCCCTACACCCTAAGCCCTAAGCCCTAAAACCTAAACCCGCAACTCCTCCACCCACGCCTCGGCGAGTGGGACTCCCACTGTGGAGTTGACTGGAGATTGCCTCACCGGAGGGGCGATCTGAAGAGTTTGAAGCCTAGGGTTACCTTAAACCCTAAACCCTGAACCCTAACCCCTAAAACCCTAAACCTAAAACCCTAAAACCCTAAACCCTAAATCCTAAAACCCTAAACCCTAAAACCCTAAACCCCTAAACCTGGGTTTGAGCTTTAGGGTTCCGCTTTTCTGAAGGGAGGTACCCTAAAACGTGAAGCTCCGTATCAGAACAGAAACGTCAAAATGAAAAACGCCCATAGGGGTTTAGGGGTTTAGGGGTTTAGGGCTTTAGGGCTTTAGGGCTTTAGGCGTTTAGGGGTTTAGGGGTTTTGGGGTTTAGGCGTTTAGGGGTTTAGGGGTTTAGGGGTTTAGGGGTTTAGGCGTTTAGGGGTTTAGGGGTTTAGGCGTTTAGGGGTTTAGGCGTTTAGGGGTTTAGGGGTTTAGGGGTTTAGGGATTTAGGGGTTTAGGGGTTTAGGGATTTAGGGGTTTAGGGGTTTAAGGTTTTGGGGTTTTAGGGTTTTTGAGGTTTAGGGCGTGGGCTCGAGGGGTTGCGGGTTGATTAGGATTGAGAGTTTAGGGTTTAGGGTATAGGGTTTACGGTTTAGGACTTAGGGTTTAGGGTTTAGGGCTTTAAGGTTTAGGGTTGAAGGTTCAGGGTGGAGGAGCGCTGAGGGGTTTGGGGGTTCAGGCTTTGAAGAGTCAACAAGTGCTTAGCGGCTCTCTGGTGCAGCGCATGTGTGGGCTTTCGGGAGTTCGAGGGCTTGGGATTTAGACCC